AATGGTCGAAACATGGGAAGGGTACAAGTAGGGATAAGTAGCAAAAAAGCAGGATTAAGGACTAAGGTCAAGTTTACTGATACATAAGCCACTTCACTTACCTCTAAACATGGCCTACAGTAGATTACGGACTATATTTATTCAGATAAAGCAGAATAATTAATTTATTAACAGACATAAATATTACAAATATATACAAAGTCACAATAAAAGATAAATTAAGACTGAAATATCTTAATACCCAATTTGCATATATAACTATTCTCAGACACATACTCACTACTTTAAATAGAAGAATTTGTTGTAAGAATTTGTCTAGTTACCATTACAGAAAACGTAAAGGGACACTGTAGTCACCAGAGCAACTACAGCTTATTGAATTTGTTCTGGTGAGTAGAATCATTACCTTCAGGCTTTTTGCAGTAAACACTGTTTTTTTAAAATGCAGTGTTTACATTACAGCCTAGTGATAACTTCACTGGCCACTCCTTAGATAGCTGCTAGAGGTGCTTAATGGGGCAGTGCTGCACAGTGTGACTGACATTCAGTGTCTCCACCCTCTGCATGCAGACACTGAATTTTCCTCCTAGAGATGCATTCATTCAATGTATCTCTATGAGGAGATGCTGATTGGCCAGGGCTGTGGTTGACTTGTGCTGGCTCTATCCCTGATCTGCCTCCTTGATACTCTCAGCCAATCCAATGCTTTAATCAGAAAGCATTGTGATTGGCTCAGAACATAACTTCTGATAATGTCAGCCAAGCAGGCAGATCAGGGGCAGAGCCAGTAGCAGCAGACATGATCCCGTGTTCCTGACCCTACAGTGTTTCTTTAAAGTAATTGTACTTCATGTTGATCATTTTCAAAATATGTTCAGAAGTGTGTGGCTTTTTTAACCAAATAAATAAAAGTTTTCTAAATTAAATAAAAAGATTTTCTTTGGGTATAATGGGCATGCAGCATTAAAGTTCATCGAACTATTTCCTATATATATATATATGGACTCAGATCATAAGCAAAATATGTCACAGTATATAACCAAAAGTAAACATGGAACAGATGCCATGGAGTGAGGTGGGTTTGCAATAAAAGGGGTATCTAAGAGTAAAACTGCTGAAATGGTGATAGCTGCAAAGTACGAGTTACCTTCCCTGTATGTTGGACATGTGATGGCACGAACAAACGTTTCATAGGGGGTAAGGTGTGTGAAAAGGAACCCAGGAAGCGCCTATGATATACAGTTAGAAAATTCTAGCTGCCAATGTAGTGAAACTCTATAAAGAAGCCAAAAAGATCATATTTATTTGCCTAAATGTGTCATCATCAATAACATGCTTTGCTAGCCAACTGTCCAGGACCGTGGAATATCTGGCACAATGTAATATAACTTTAAACATTTCACTTTGCTGTACACGGAGTGAGTTCTTGATGTTGTCTGCTTTTGCCATCTACTGGCAGTACTACAAATGATTCGGTTAAAGCGGTGTTCTTCAGAAGGATATTGATACCTTAGAGAGGGTTCAGAGAACGGCTACTAAACGGGTTCATGGAATGCAGGATAAAACTTACCAGGAAAGGTTAAAGGATCTTAACATGTATAGCTTGGAGGAAAGACGAGACAGGGAGGGTGTGGGGAATATGATAGAAACAATGCAGGAGCTGAGCTTAACCGATGCTGAAATAAAAGGGATTAAAGGAGATCAGACAATTCCTAGAATTTTTAATATTATGTTAATTTATCTCCTATATTTAATTAACAAATATGTATTTTTATGTATTTTTGACGTGTGAAAGATATAATTAATTATAGAAATCCACTGGTCACTGGTAATTGTTGTCCTTTCCTCCTCCCAGTCACCATGGAGATGAGAGGACAACTGACACAATGTATCTACTTCTCCTCCTGATTTGCATTGTCTGCCCTGACTGTGCCTGTTTGTTAAATGTTAAAGAGAACGATTATTCCTAGCACTAAAGTCCCCTTTAGTGTCCCCTTCCCTAGCAATCTCCCTCTCCCCCTTAAGGCGCAGAAAGGGTTGAAAAAAACTTTTTGTCAGGTACCTGATTCCAGCATCGATGTCCCTCGCTGCTGGTTCAGGCTCAACCTCCACTAGAGGTGGACTTAACCCTCAAATGTAATTATTACGGTTTCTCAATAACTGCAATATTACAATTACACAGGTTAAGGGGACAGGGGCACTGCATCCAAAACCACTTCAATGAGATGAAATGGTCTTGGTGCGTATCGTGTCCATTTAATATAAATTTGAAAGAAAATAGAGCAAGCATTGCAGGGAAAAGTTAACCCCTTGTTGGTAATTCTCTGTGTTATATTCAAGGGCGTAAGTTCCAGAGAGGCGATGGCACCTTTTAAATTTTACCTGATGGTATTCTTGTATTTTTTTTTTATTTTTTTTTTATACATTCAGAATGGTTTTTTTTGCATTGGTTATTTCATAGTTTTCCTATTATCTTAAAGAATCACTTTCCAAGGGCAGAAGATTTCTGGAAAATACTAAATACCTCTCATTGAGATGAGCACATTTAGAGCGATTTTTATTTTCTGAATCAAGCCTTGAATTATGTTTGGGAAATACCCAAATTGCACGTCTGGACATATTTGAGGATTTTCACCAAATTTTGAAATTCCAAGGTCAATTGGGTGCTGAGTGCACAACACAGACAGAGTTTGAAGTAATGTGATTAATATAATGTGACTGCATTCAAGAAACGTTATTTCAGTATAAGTCCAAGACAACCAAACATCATACTAGGTGTATAGTCATTTTGTAGTAAAGCTTACTCACTAAACACAGGATTGTAGTTTATTAAAAGTTGAAATGCTACATTTAGCCCCAAAATAGCTGATTTGGAAATATTTTACAACTCCCAAAATATTGCGTTTTATTTTTGAATTCTCTACAATTCTATGTTTAGAGAAAACATCCCACTTGGCTTAATGGCTAATTAACAAATGACTGGATTAATACTAAATTGGAAACATGAGTACAAAAAGAGAATGTTTTCGTAAAATAATTTATCTTTGTTTTGGTTTTACCCAAAGGAGGAAGATTCTTTACAGATTGAAGAGAAAATCAAGTGGGGTGATGGTTTCGCTGTTGTTTATTCGGTGACTGATCGCTGTAGTTTTGACGAAGTGATGAGACTGTGTTTTCTTATTAACCATATTCACTCCAATGCAAAAAAAGGGACCAGTGACCTTCCTCCTGTTGTGATAGTGGCAAACAAGAAGGATCTCCAGTACGATCGCATGGTTTCCATTGAAGAAGGAGAAAAGCTGTCACAGGCATTGAAGTATCCATGTTACGAAATTTCCACGAGAGACAGCTATGATGAGACGGCTGTAGTTTTTAATACTATTTACTACGAGCTGATGAAACAAGGAAACCTTTCGCCGGGATCCTTCAAGAAAAGGGGTGTTTCAAAATTAATGGAAAAAATTCCCAAACTGTACGCTAACTCTGCACTAAACACAAGTGGCAGGAGTCTAAGTTTCAATTCGTTTCGAGATTACATTCCGGAATGAATTGTGGGTGTAAACTGATCCTGATACTTCTAATTCTGCAGTATGAACAGTATTAACTGGAGTAGATATCGCTAAGAATGTATTTTCTGGATTTTTCTTACAATTTACTACTAACTCTAATCTGGGCCAGTTTACATTCGTACACACCAGACATCATCAGCAAATGAATACTATGCCATAGCTGATATAGCAGAAAGTGGTTGTGGAATGAAAAAATGGTCCAAACATGGGAAGGGGACAAGTAGGAATAAGTAGCAAAAAAGCAGGATTAAGGACTAAGGTCAACCTTACTGATACATAAGCCACTTCACTTACCTCTAAACATGGCCTACAGTAGATTACGGACTATATTTATTCAGATAAAGCAGAATAATTAATTTATTAACAGACATAAATATTACAAATATATACAAAATCACAATAAAAGATAAATTAAGACTGAAATATCTTAATACCCAATTTGCATATATAACTATTCTCGGACACATACTCGATACTTTAAATATTCAACAATGAGCAAGACAATGGTAGGTTCCAATTAAATACCCCAAAAACAGCAACATGTTAGTGAGGCTTTAATGAAATCAAACTGTGTGTTAAATGTAGAGAAAAACCATCACCACCAGCCAACTGTCCATCAGCAAAAAACTACTGACCACCATCACTGGGAGGTGTAGCCTATGTCACTGTCATAGACAAGAAGATAAGGTCTGTGTAATTAACCCCATAAACACACAACTCCCTAAAGTTCTTAAAGCAATTCTAAACCTATTCTGCATATTTGCACAACAGACACCTTTTAATAAATTCTTCTTCACCAACATTCAAATACCATTTGAAAACCACACAAATATATAATGTATCCATATAAAGAGTCAAACGTGGTAATATTTCAGATTATCAAGAGAATGTTTAAATTTACAATGTGAAACTTTAAGCAGCATTTTCACCTATTGCATTAAAATAATTAGTGCATGATTTAATTTTTCGGGCCATTTTTATTATTATATTTATAATATTATAATATTATTATTGTTCTATAGAGAATATGTCTGTGAAAACGCCTATTAATACATTTTCATATCATTTTTGCATTACATGATGTTGTATCATTCTAACATGTCTTGAACACTATTGTAACGGACCGTTTTGCACACAAGGGGTAAAAACCGTTTAGGCGATCGTCCCCTTTCAGAGATGCAGGCACAGCTACTGTAGAACACCAAACTCCCGAACCGCATGTAAGGGAATGCTCCAAACTCCCGAACTGCATCCAATATAGCACTCCAAACACACGAACTGGAACCATACGAATTGCTGCTAGCAGACGAATAGGAAAAGCATCCAAGCGGCTTACACTCCTAGCAATCAGTCTCTATCAGCATTCAGTAAATCCCCCCAAAGACGAGACAAGGCTCCGTGTTGAGGGTCAAGCAGTGGTCTGTTTAATGAGGGCTACCTGCCCGGTATTTATGCAGGTCTCCCACCTGGTGGACACTCCCCTAGGAGACCAAATGGGAGACTGTGACAAAAGACAAACAATCAGAAAAATAGGACACACAGTCACATTGTATTCCCACAATGCATCCTGGCTTCCTCCCCTCTGCCCTGGAGATAATTAAGAAGTAATTAAATTATCTCCCAGGACAAAGGAAAATCGCCATTATGCACGTGGGGATACTAAAACATGAATTACTATTAAAATACACAGTATGACACAAGTTACAATAAAACTATACATTTAACATGTCCCCAGATAGCTCAGGTCTGAGCGCACATTATTAAGCGAATGGCGCTCAGACCACACGAATACAGTGTAATCGCCATGGAGCCGTCAGTTCTCATGTGAATGGGCTCCATGGGATTCCTATCTGGGGTATAACATAGTCAAGTAAAACTACCGAACACCGGGCCGTTCGTGCACTTTCACCGAACAAGAAGGGAAGTTGGCGGCTTCAGCGGTGTTCGCGCAAAACGGTGTCCGATTTTAGTTCCATGAATTGAGCGTCGAACACCGCTGTGCGTTCGCGGGTTTAAAATGGCCACGACCTCGTGTTCGTTATACGAATGGCGGCCACCCAGCATTCGTCAATTAAGCTGCGGTTAACCGCAGCTTCAGGGAGGCTAATTGCCGGCACACTCCAGCTCCCAGGTGGTCTAGTCATTCGTGCGGTTGTTCGGTAGATTGAATCTACCGAACACCAGGCAGAAAAGCACGAATAAGTCTTTTCTGCAGGGAAAAAGATGTCTTTTAACAAGGGGCCATAGTCCAAAGGCAGCAGGCGAGCAACCAGGCTTCTCCAATGCAATGTGGCGAGATTGCTCTCGTCACAACTATCTACACTGGAATACTTCCTTTATCTCACACGATTATTCTCTAATGTGAGAATTTAAAGTTAATTTCAAATCTGAGGCCAGAGTAGCCAAATTGAAACCACAGTTCCCTTAGAGAATTTTTTCAGTTCGCCCTTAAGGACACATGACGGAACTATTAACCTGAAATGCTGTTAATTCACTTTAAATTCTGACTTAAGTGAATACCTTGGTCAGGATAGAAAATTGAAATATGTTAATTGGGCACAAATCACATTGACATACGCCTTGTATTTTTACATATTTTTGGGTTTCAAAAAACCAGTTTATCCTGCTACATCAGTGTGTTAGAGCTGCCATAGTCAATGTATTTCTTTCAGAATATTTTAGTTTGAATTATTTTACTCAATACACGGTCACAAAAGGCAAACATGATCATTGCCAGAGTTTCTCTTTTCTCATTTTTGTATCATTATTTGTTTATGAAAAGATCTTTTTGTTTTTGATCTCTTTGAGTATTTTTACCTTATCTAAACAGCCTTGTTTCTGTGTGTCACTCACATCTTTTCTCAGTCTCTTAAACCAGAGAGTCACACTTTGAATGCAGTGCTTCATTTAGATGACAAGAGTAATATTTCAGAATATTTTAAATCTAGATTGTATCGGGATCTATGTTTTCATTTTGATATTTTTAATGCAGTTTGAGCAATCTTAAAGGACCTCTATAGGCACCCAGACCACTTCAGCTTAATGAAGTGGTCTGGGTGCCAGGTCCAGCTAGGGTTAACCCTTTCAGAGAAACTGCTATGTTTATGTTAGGGTTAATCCAGCCTCCAGTGGCTGTCTCTTGACATCCGCTAGAGGCGCTTGCGTGCTTCTCACTGTGAAAATCGCAGTGAGAAGACGCCAGTGTCCATAGGAAAGCATTGTGAATGCTTTCCTATGGACTGGCTGAATGCGCTCGCGGGTCCTGCCGGGAATGCGCATTCAGCCGAAGAGGAGGAGAAGAGGGAGGAGAGGAGGAGGAGAGTTCCCTGTCTGGCACTGGAGAAAGAGGTAAGTTTAACCCCTTCCTCTCCCCAGAGCCAGAGGGAGGGGGTCCCTGAGGGTGGGGGCACCCTCAGAGCACTATAGTGCCAGGAAAACAAGTATTTTTCCTGGCACTATAGTGGTCCTTTAACTTGTGTCTACCCTTTTAGTAAAAATATTTAAATGAAAATATCTATTTTGATTCATTGAAAACTACAAAAAAACACACAATTATTATTATTATTGTGACTTGTCTTTATCCAAAAATAAAGCTGTTGCAAAGCAAGTTTAAGTCTGCACATGGAATGGTCCAATGTCTGTAAAAGTCAATCTTTTTTTAATGGGAAAACATGAAAATGAAATAAAAACAACAACAAACAGATATCTCAGTCTAGCAGCAGTCACAAAACCAAGGGCAAAGAATACAAGCCGTGAAAAGTAGGAACTCTATCAAGATTGATCAGTTAGTTATCTAATTTCCTTTTATTCATCCTTGTCATCTGGGATTTAATCAACCTTTTCATGATAATATCTAGTGTGTTATGTGCAAGGTAAGTGTACCATGTGCCAGTGAATGGTAAGTGCACCATGTGCCAGTGAAAGGTAAGTGTGCCCTGTGACCATGGAAGGTAAGTGCACCATGTGCCCATGGAAGGCAAGTGCACCATGTGCCAGTGAATGGTAAGTGCACCATGTGCCAGTGAATGGTAAGTGTGCCATGTGCCCGTGAACAGTAAGTATACCATGTGCCAGTGAACGGTAAGTGTACCATGTGCAAGTGAATGGTAAGTGTGCCCTGTGACCATGGAAGGTAAGTGCACCATCTGCCCATGAAAGGCAATATTTCAAACTGAACAAAGGTCTTTTAAGAGTGGTTATAAATTGTTTAGTATAAAGGTATTGGAACAGACAAGAAGTACAAATACATGTATGAAAGGTAGGGTTATTACTGTGGAAATGACATGTGCCAAAATATAACTACAATGTGAAATATTATCACAGGGCACCAGTACAAAGACACTGTGAGCTATTACTCAAACGTTAACATCTGTGTGCAAGAGAGAATATTTAAAGAGACACTACAGTCACCAGAACCCCTACAGCTAAATATATTTGTTCTGGTGTGTATATCCTGTCCCTGCAGGCATTTCAGTAGGGATGTGCATGTGCAAAAAATTTGGTTCGGTTCAGAAATTCGGGTAAAAATAATTTGTCTGCTTCGGCAATTCGGACCAATGGCATTCAGTTTGGATCGGCACTTCCGAAATTCGGGACTTCGGCAATTTGGAACTACGGCAATTCAGAATTCAGTAATTCGGACCCTACCCCTAAACCTTAACCCTACCCCTAACCCCTAAACCACTTCGGCAATTTGGACATTTGCCAATTCGGCAATTTGAACTTCAGGCATTCGTAAGCATCCGAATGTCCGAATTGCACGAAATTCTTCCGAAGATACATTCAGAACGAAACGAATTGCACATATCTACATTTCAAAGTAAACGCTCCCTTTCCAGAGAAAAGGCAGTGTTTACATTACTGCCTAGTAACACCTCCAGTGGCATTCACTCAAGCCACCACTAGGTATGCTTCCTATATCAGTACTGCACAGTGTGCAGCACCTACGATCAGCGTCGCCACACTCTGCATTAAAGATGCTGAGCACTCCACATAGAGATGCATTGATACAATGTATCTCTGTGAGGAGATGCTGATTGGTGTAGCATTTTGCCACACATTTGCAATAGCCTCCCAATGCTTTCCTATTGGAAAGCATTGGATTGGTTGAGATTATCAAGGTTGATGATCTCAGCCATAAAGGCGGGGTCAGTGATGACAAGGCAGGTGCAGTGATGGAAAAAAAGTATGTTTAATCACCTGCAAACTCCATGCTGAGAGGGGCTGTAACCTCAACAGCTAATCCAGCGCTATAGTATTAGGAATACTTGTCTGAACTATAGTGTTCCTTTAATAGGTATTTTTTTATGTTCTATGAAATTTATAGCAAATTAGCTTGAAATGTTACATAACAATTATAGCTTAAAATTTTTAAAGGGTCATTCTAAGCAACAGAGCCACTTCAGCATATTGTTTAGCGCAGTCTCTCTTTAATTGCATGATAAAGTATATAAAGCCAGAATAACTCTTGATAATTAGGAAGTGGGGTACCTGCTTTATGAGTGCAGCTTTGTGTGACGGAGAAGCCCAACTTTCGCAAAATCACTTGAAAGCTGTGTCTTCAAAACAAGTATTGTTCCATTTGCTGAAACTATAAGTTCAATTCTCGGCATCGTCACCTGAGACTTACATTTTCCCAAGGTTAATAAAATGATTATTGATAAACTGAATAATAATAAAAACAATGTGAACATAGAGCTTTAGGCACCCTTCCTGTTTAAATCATTTTCTATTATTATCTCAAAAAAGCTGAACAAATTAAATTAATTGAAAAACATGCAAGTAATATAAGATGCTTATTGTATTACTGAAGTTCAAATAACTCTCGCTAGATTCCTAGATCAGATTCTGTTCATCAAGAAAAATAATTGAAGAAATGACTGATTGCATTATATATTCAAAACCTGCTATTAACAATTATATGCAGCCTTCCTCAGTGCCAGATCCGTTATGCCATCTGATTGTATCACATTTCTTTTTTTTTTTATCTTTCTTTTTTTTTTCTTTCTTTTCAATTATTTTAAACATTTAACAAATTGTAATATTTGTACATTCTGTAATCAATATTCATTTCCTACAGATCTTGGTCGCAGGGAAAGAGGAATATATAGACCTCTTTAAAATACAATTTAACATTAAGTATTTGGTAATATATACATATTATACAAATTTACAATGACAGTGTAGCAGCAAAATATACAACAAAATTGCTATAAGTAGAGTGGAGGGAGGTTCAGGTATAGCTTATATATTTTCAATGTTCAAGGTATGCAAATTACCTTCAATTAATCACAAATAATTTCCATATTGATCAACTTAAGACATTTCATCCAGACAGATACTTTTTTGCTTAATTTTTGTTTACTCAGCATCAACTCCATTTTTATCTGAAACTCGAATTGTTTTTTTACATTCTTCCAGGGGACTTCTAAATCTTTTTTCCACCATCTCGCAACCACTATTTTAACAGCCAAAAAAAGGTGTATAAGGATTACTTTTAATTCATACGCCATAGGTGGCCAATTTAAATGTAGCAAAACAACCTCTGGAGAAATTTTCAACTCGAGTTTTAGATGTTTGGATATAAACTTTTGTATTATCGACCAAAGATTTCTTAATTATGACAGTCCCACCAGATGTGTTTGAAGTTACCTCTAGCACATTTACATCTCCAGCAAATAGGATTAGTTGAAGAGTATATTTTACTTAATTTCACCGGAACCAAGTACCACCTATTTAAGACTTTAAAATGTGTTTCCAACAAATTTAATGAATGTATGTTCTTCTTAACATTTATCATTGAAGAACCCCATTGTTTCATATTAATATCAATGCTTAAATCTTTTTTCCATGCTGATATGGCTGTTGGATTTATATCCTTAACGCTAGATTTGGTTAGTATTAAAGCCTTAGAAAGTGATTTATTGATTTTTTTTGAGGTGAATAATAAGTCAATCAAATTGCTTACGTTCGATTTTGGTGTAATAAGGTGTGTAGACATGAAGCTTTTGAGTCTAAGAAAATTGAACACTTCTCCAGATGGAAGATTATATAGACTAGTTATTTGGGCAAAAGTTTTAATTGTTCCTTCTGTCAATAAATGTTCTAATCGTAGTATCCCTAATTTTTTCCAATTGTTAAGATTTAAGTCTTCCACTTGGTTTTCTACAATGTTTAATTCCAAATAGCTCGGGACTTTTTTTTCTATGTTTAATGCTTTTTTTATTTTAAACCAATTTTTTAATAGTTTAGTCAAAATAGCATTGGCATATTCTTTTTTTTTTTTGCGATTTTATCTATGTTCCAAATTAAACAATCTAAGCTAGGAACTTCTCCTGCCCTCATTTCGATCTTATACCATCCTTCATTTTGTTTTCTTTTATTTGCATTCTATAGATATGCAGAATAGTAGCTGCTTTGAAGTTATTCACTATGAATGGATAAGCAAGTCCGCCCTTATATATATTTTGTACTAATATTGATTGTTTTAATCTTGGCTTCTTACTTTTCCAGATATATTGGGTGAAGCTTTTTTGTATTAACTCAAGCCAATGAGTCAGAATATGAAGAGGTAGCATTTGGAACATATAGTTCCACTTTGGTATTACGTATGAATTAATCACATTTATCCCCAAAAGGTGATTTCTAAATTTCTACGATCTTTTAACCATTTGTTGAGCTCCAATAATAATGCCAGAAAGTTTATTTCCATAATCCTATTTATCTCTCTAGTAATTTTGATTCCTAGATAGTCCATACTTTCCTTGACCCAAATAAATTCGTAACTGTTTTTAATTTCTTGTTGTGTTTTTTTAATCAAGATTAATATCTAAGATCAAGGATTTATTTACATTTAATTTATAATTTGATATAAAACTGTATAGATCTATTTCCTGGATAATATGTTTCAGTGAGCTTTTAGGATTTGTAACAGTGATTAAGATATCGTCAGCATATAAACTGATTTTTTGATCTTCATCTATAACTTTGTAACCTTTAATCTTCTTGTTGTTTCTAATATTTTCAGCCTATGGCTCGATAGATAATAAATAAAGTAATGGTGAAAGAGGACATCCTTGCCGAGTCCCATTTTTAAGTTGGAACCACGGAGCAACAATATTAGGTCCAATAGTACGTGCAACTGAATTTACATAAAGGGCCATAATAGCTTTCTTTATCCAGCCTTCTAATCCATAATGTGATAAAACAGCTTCTAAATATTTCCAGCTGACTCTGTCGAATGCTTTTTCAGCATCGATCGACAGAGTCAGAACTGGAATCTCATTTCTGTTTGCATCATCTAAGATGTTTACAATTCTCCTCATACTTGTATAAGAATTTCTGCCTGGAACATATCCTATTTGATCTTTATGGATAATTAGTGGAAGAAGTTTCTTTATTCTAACAGCCAAGACTGAAGCATATAACTTGGTATCTACATCTATCAAAGATATTGGACGATAATTTTTAATATCAGTAGGATTTTTATCATTTTTTAAAATTGGCAAAATTTGCAAAATTGTATCACATTTCATTAGAATGTTCATGGAGGTGGAACTGTGATATCTGAAAACTATAAAAAGTAAGATTGTATCTGGTTTAGAAAGTATTTCACACTTTGCTCACAGCATTGAATGGTGAATTGGTTACCAAGCAGTGTAGATGTTCAATATGTAGATGTTCAATATGACACAGTATTTTGGTAGACTCTGGAATGTTGACTTCATCTTTAATAAAACTAAACTTTTAGGGCTTCTCGGTGTATGAATATTTGTGATTTCACTAGATTTTTTGTTGTAGTTTTGTTTTCTTCTACAATTTTAAAAGTATTAATTAAAGAGTAAATTGAAGGAAATTCACAATGAATTTCAAATTTGAGTCCAGAATAGTTCAGATGGGAAAAGTTCATAATGGAAGCTCATTTTAGACCCTTTAAAATTCACTTTTATTCGTTTCAGGGTTTATTCGCCAAAGTAAGTGTTGCTGAGAATTAAGGTAAATCCAAATTGAAATTTTAAGGCCAAGTTAGTTGAACTGGAAACTTCCAAAGTAATTTGTTTTGATGCCTACAGTGTGACCCTCATAATGAATAGTATACTCACCCTCAGTCCCGCAAACGGCTCCTTCTGCTGGTTCACAGGCCAAACTGCAGCTCCTTAAATACTTATATTCCCAAGACATCACGCCCTAAAAAGGGACCTCATCGTCTCGGCGACCCCATGTTGTTTGGGGTCACTGAGATGACGTGGACCAATGGGAACTCTTCTGAACCTATTTAAGGCTTGTTCCAGCCCTTACTTATTGCCCTATCGTGGTGTCTGTCCTGATACACATTAGTGCCAATAGTAAGTGTCTCTTGTTGTATTCCTGTTATTGACCTCGGCTCGTATTTGACTCGTGATTTTCTGGTATCCTGTCCTGACTTTGTCTTGACTCTGTGTATTTCTGTATTCCTGACCTTGGCTTACCCTTGTTTCTTGCTGTTTTAATACGTTAAGTCCGGCCATTCTAAGGCTCAGTGATACGTTTTTTGGTTCCACCTTCTGTGGGTTTTCACTTTCCTGCGTGTTGGGGTAACACTGAGTGACCCTTGCCAAAGTCACTCACCTTTTCACTTGCCCAGTTTTTCCTGACTATTCACTTGCTGCCTAATATGTCCCACCCATTGACAGGTGTCATTGGAATGATATCAATGTTATTCACTTCACCTGTCCATGGTTTTAATGTTGTGGCTGATCAGTATATAATATTTTTATTCCTAATGCAATGTATAATCATTTTGTTTGCTACTTTATTACATACATTTTGAATAAATAACTAACGTTGAACTAATATATAAATATATTTTCATTAATGGGTTATCTTACTAGCCTTTGATATTAACATGGACCAATAATTAAGAAATAATTGCTGTTGCTGAGAAACTTTATAGTAATAGTATTAATTATAATTAATTAATACACTTGCCTTTTAACATAAGGAGCTTGTACTTGAAATAAAATCTGATGTGTTCTTATCAATTTCTTTTACTATTTTTAAGAGCATTAAATATGATTTATGCTGAGTGTAAACTACAAACTTGCCCTAGACGGGTATCCGAAGACTCAGATAGATCTTTGTGATCTTAGTTAGAATTCTGGAACTTCTGGTTGGGTTCTAGAACCTTCAGGGATATTTGAGGAGAACTAGCCAGCTATCAGCTTATTCAACAGTTTCATTCATCTTATCTGATAAATACAACAGCTGCAGGATATTAGACTACATTTCTTATACCTCTACAAGGTAGGTTTAGGTAGGTCTAAGAGAAAATATCTGGCTCCATAGACCAGAGTAAGAGGCATCTGATTGGAGGAGCCACTTTTTTGCAATCAAAGGAGTCTTTACTGATGCTTGCCTCTTTAAGTGCTACAAATATGAAAAATATTTAATATAGCATTAGCTGCATGATAGGGTCACTTCCACCGCCTAATGGCTATATATGTACTGCCCCCTATTAACTTGTCTGTAAAGATCACAAATTGTTTGATTTTTATTTTTTTCCAAATCTATTATTTTTCCCATTAACAACTATAGGTAAATAACTCACTGTAATTAATGCTCAAAGAGTTAACGTGATGACAGTGGCTGAGATTGAAGAATATATTACTAACATACCGTAAATCTAGTATGAAATATATGTGGCGTCAGAAAATCAATAAGCATCAACTGCCAGGGACAAATTTTAATTATTTAATGACATTGTTACCTTTGTAATGTTACATAATGTGCTGAGTAATCTGAAGTGAAGATTATATTGGCAAATGCCATATCCTCGTTCCCAATCCCTCTTCGCTAGTGTGTCTGGCAGATGCAAAACACTGCAGTGCCCAATATGTCTTAAACAATATCTCCTGTGCATGTTAAGGATAAATGAAACCAGGAGCAAATCAAGTTTAAGATTAATTTGTGCTTGTTTATACACAGCAACGTGATGTCGTTCATAAACCTTTGAACTATTTAGAAAAAAATACTTCACACGTTAAAGAATATCTGTAATTTTTTAAAATTATTATTAAAAATATATAATTATCTTGTAATTCATATGTTTGTGTGTGTGTAATCATCTATTTTCAAAGTGTCTCATAGTGTCCCCTTGCTCTGCAGGTGTGGTTATCTTTAAGCCCATTTATCTACAAAAAACATGCATAATTCGTGCCTCAGACCACTGGCACAAAGATTTTGATGGTCGCAGTCTCAAAGAAAGCACTATTTTCCTGATGATTAAAGTAGTTTCACATCTAGCGTTTGCTACAACCGCACTGTGTGGGTTTGTGCTTGGTCTGGTGGCCCACGACCTCAGAGCTCTCCTGGTTGTGACTCGCTCACTGGGAAATATCCTGACACACTACATTATTTGAGTCCTACTAGGCTGCCACCTCATGTTGATTGTGGGGTGAAATGAGAAAGTGGTCAAGATACTCATCATATGCATCGGTAGTAAAGGAGTCACAGGAAATTTCTGCAGGGGAAACTTAACAATAAATGAGACAAGGCCGGCTGTGTTTCATTGTCCTTGTGTGCACATTCTACTGGGATAGTCTTGAACCCAGGAACCCAGAAAATGAGAGAAATCTCAATGTATCATTCCTGGTAAAATATTTTATAAATAAATAATACAGTTCAATCTGAATCTGTTACACATACAATATGTTGATGGGGATCCTGCTTAACCCCTTAAGGACCAAACTTCTGGAATAAAAGCGAATCATGACATGTCACACATGTCATGTGTCCTTAAGGGGTTAAACGAGCTTACCGGTATTAGCGTTTTTAGTGGAAAAGGTAAAAGCAGTTCCTTGCTCCTGTTGCATTGAAAGATTTGAATATTCCTGATTAGTATGTGAAAGGACATCAATGCAATGCCTAATGTCACAATCATTGTCAAGACATTATTTTCAGTATACCAATCAGTGTTATACCTGTGTAATCCACCAGGAGGCACCATATTATCAACGATTAAGTTCCATACAAAATATGTGACGAACAGGTGCTCAACAATGTGTGAGCCTGCAAATACATGGATTTGGGATTTGCTAAGTATTTGTAATTTTACTTATCACATAAGACGTTCTGGTAACCATGCACTATGGAAGACATACGTATATTTCATTTAATATTCTATATACGTAACATCTGTTTCTCAGATATGGAGTCACTAGTAACACAGTGTTTTAAGAACTTTCCTAAGGGGATACTCTCAGTTCGAGTTGTGTGTGTTTTGTGTGTGTGTTTGTGTATGTGTGTGTGTGTGTGTGTGTTTAAATGTGTGTGTGTGTGTTTGTCCCACCAACGGTTAAAATTAGTGGCTTCTGTAAGGCCCCATATGTTTATAGGGGAACATGGGATTGCTGCATGGTGCTAGTTGTGGAACAAGCTAAGCTTAATGGGATTTGAGGTCCATAACGGCAATAATACAGAAATTAAGTATGTCATGTTAATAATGGTATGAACATACTTGTTCTAGTACTGCTGTGAGTGGGATTCTAGGAGCGTCCAGAATGCCAGGGATGGAGAATATAATAGACCATGTAAATATATAGAACGCACTCGCTAAGAAAATCAATCCTTAACCCCTTAAGGATACATGATGTGTGACATGTCATGATTCCCTTTTATTCCAAAAGTTTGGTACTTAAAGGGTTAAATCTATACTGCCTCCCATGTGCTGTTTCCTTGCATCATTGCATTTAATAATTTAGACATAAATGATTGAGATTGGCTTATATTTAACCGATCGTCCTAAAAGCAGATACAAATAGGTTTGTCATCAATTACTTAATGAGGTTCTAGGGCTTTGAGAGCTTTTCTTGCCCAGATTTTTTGTTTTCTGCTGACAAATTGTCCTGAGTTCCAAGTTCGAAGCAGTATATAATTTGTTTGGTACCTGGGAATTGAAGTTTGGTGCAGCGAGAATATTAGCTTTGTTTCCAAAATATACTCTCTCTGCTGTGCTATAAACCGCAGCATTACGGTGATTGCTTTAGTAATAAAGAGATGTAAATGTCACTGCCAGATCTCTATTTAATTTAGAAAATAAATCGGTGTATTTACTTTGCACGTTGTTAGATGGGGTGGTCCAAAAGCTATGCAGCAGCATAAACAGCATTGAATTAAAACAATAAACAAAGAAAAATACTAAAAATAGTAAAAACGCTGTGGTGCAGAATGCTTAGTATTCTTCCTGACAACAAAGTGCTAATATGACTTATAATTAATATTGTAATTATATCGGCTTTCTTACTGTAATGATAATACCAGCCCCAACACGCAGTACTTGGGTTACACCTAGGACTGGTAGGAAACCAGAATGGTAGAGGCAGTGGCATAGACACAATCCATGGGGCCCCGGTGCAAAATTGAACCATGGTGGTTGCTGGGAGGAGTGACCGAGGCAGTCGCTTCCTCCCAGCGTCTGACATCATCAGAGGGGCCCCGGTCGTGCAGTTACCGGGCACACTCTGATGATGATATTCATTTACATCGGGTGGCCCTAACAGTGTGGGCCACCCGATGGACCCTTTCACGTGTGGCCCCGGCAATTATACAGGGCCGCAACACATGTCCACAGGGCGGCCGGGCCACCTGGAGTGACGGGCCCAGTCGCAGCTGTGAACTCTGCGAACATGGTATGTACGCCACTGGGTAGATGTGTATTAGGGGTCCTTGGGAGTGGCGTAGTTTAAGCCTTATAGTATCAGGAATAAAAAACATAGTGGCTGGGTCTTCCTACTTGTCTGAGATCATCAAATTTAATCTCAGCCAATCAAATGCTTTCATGCATGGCAAAAACGCTGTGCTGTGCCAATCAGCATCTCTTTGATCCAATGCATCTCTATTCAGCATCTTTGCTGAACGTCAGGTTACCTTGCCTGTGAATATAACTTGTGCAGCTTTTTTGAGATAATAATAGTGAATGATTTAACCCGGAAGGGTACATGAAGCTCTGTGTTCATATTGTTTGTATTATTGTTTAGGTGAACGATAATCATTTTATTAACCTTGGGAAAATGTAAGTCTCAGGTGACGCTGCCAAGAATTGAACTTATAGTTTCAGCAAATGGAGCAGTAACTGCTGAGCTAGTTCATTGGCAATAAAGGGCACGCTATAAGCCATAACCACTACAGCTCATTGAAATAATTATGGTGCTTTTATACTTTGGGTGCCGAGCTGCTTATTTTGAAGACACAGCTTTCAAGTGATTTTGCCCCTTTAAAATTTTTAAGCTATAATTGTTATGTAACATTTCAATCTAATTTTCTATAAATTTCATAGTATATAAAAAAATACCTATTAAAGGAACACTACAGTTTAGACAAGTATTCCTAACACTATAGCGCTGGATCAGCTGTTGAGGTTACAGCCCCTCTCAGCGTGGAGTTTACAGGTGATTAAACTTACTTTTTCTCCATCACCATGCCAATCTCGCCACCGCTGATCCCGCCTCCATGGCTGAGATCATCAATCTTGACAATCTATGGGAAAGCCAATCCAATGCGTTCCCAAAGCAAAACGTTGCGCCAATCTCCTTATAAAGATGCATTGAATTAATGCATTTCTAAGGGGAGTGTTCAGCGTCTCCATTTGGAGCATGGAGATGCTGAACATAAGTGTTGCACATTATGTGACACTGACACAGGAAGCACTTCTGGTGGCCATCTGAGTGAATAACACTAGAGGTGTTACTAGGCAGAAATCGAAGTGAAAAAGCAGTGTATACATGAAAAAGCCTGCAGGTACAGGCTGTACACACCAGAATAAGTACATAAAGCTGTTCTGGTGACTACGGTGTCCTTTTACACCATGTGGCAGAGTCAGGGACCATGTACATATCAGTCAGAGGTTACAAAGGGCCGGCTTTCCCTGTTTAATAAGGGATTCATCTTTTCTAGTTCAGGCAGAACACCTGTTGATGGCTAATTAACCCAGGAGCCTTACAGCTACCTCCCAACATTTCTTTTTTTTTTTTTTTTCAGTGGTTTCCCATTAAACTTTATTCATGAACCTTTCCATTAATTTAGTCTCTGTCAGTATGTCATACAATCTATCTCTAAACCCTGCAAAATGTATCTCCTGACATCTAAACATTCCTTCATTCAATATGTTATTTCTCGTTCTGTTTTTTTTTTTATTTTTTTATTTTTTTCTGTTTATTGTTTTTAACATAGCTTGACAAAGACATTGTTCAATTATAAACATACATTGTTTAAATGCTAACATATACAAATTGTAGTTATCCAGTTGAGATCATCTGTCTGGTTACAAATTCAAAATCCTGGTTCGATGTAACATATGGTAAACATGTTTAAAGTATTTAAATATATTAGTATAGGTAAAACTGCGAGAGATACTTTCATATCATCTGAGGCAACTTTCTCTCTCAAACTGTCTTAAGGTTTACTTTACCTAGTACATAGGATACAGAGATAAATGTTGTGGGGTATACAAGGTACATGTGATATGTACCAGCATCGACCTTATGTCCCCGTTTGGTTTGTACGTTACTAACGCTGTGGTCAGCAGTTTTGTGTCAGCATATTGGTTTAACTGTATAGCCGGGATTAGTAGGTCCCGACTTCTCAGCCAGGTCTGTGGCCATCTTACTGCTACGTCTGGGGAGGAGGGGGAAAGGGGGGGGGAGGTAGGGCTTGCGTTAATTACCGCTGAGTATGCACTAGGAGGGCCCTGGACCGTCCGGGTTCCATAGGGTTGTGGATTTGCCTATGTAGTTTGACCAAGGCTCCCATGTGGTTACATAATGGGCGTATTTATCGTTTAGTGAGGCTGTCAGTTCCTCCATAATCCGTATCGACTCTACTTTCTGGAGCCATTCCCTCATGGATGGGGCCTTAGTGGCCTTCCATTGTATCGGTATGAGGAGATTGGCCGCTGTGAGCATGTGGGTCAGTAAGACCCTCTGTGGTTTGGCAATGGGGTCTGAGTATAGTAAGAAGAGCATTGTCTCCGGTTTGAGTGGT